AAAAAAAAAAAAAAATTGACTTTGAAGATTACTACTTCTGGGAGTTAGAATGTTCTTTTTCCTACTTTAGTTTGGCTGTGCTTTAATTCTGATTCTGAGAGCTAGACTGCAGATAAGATTTCAATGATTTGGAATACATTTTTTTTTTTGTGGTGTTTTATATTTCACAGTGTTTTTCTTCTCTCATTAGTTTTAATGAATAATTTTTGCTTCATAAAATGAACAATTTTCGTACAAAGAACTTCCAGAATGGAAACATAAGAGATATAAAAGCAAGTTCTTACATTATATGTGAAAAAGTTCAATTTAATAAATCAGTTAAAAGTTTTTGAAATCTACAAAAATGAATTTATTAGAGTAGTTATTATTTATTGGCTTTCCAGAATATAAATTTCTCCAAATGATTGTAAAGCTTGTAAAACTTGTTTTGGTGAAAGTGATTTATCAATTTAACAAATGCTTGTTAGGAATATAGCACTCGGCTGTTTGTACCCTCACATTAACCTGAAAAAAAAAAAAAAGAATATAACACGAATGTAGATAGATGTAGAACCTTCTCCCAGGGCTCTGTATGTAATAAGATATAGCATGTAGATTAATTGTGTCTTATGGTTTGTCATAATGAGAGTAACCATATATTGATTTGCCCAAGACAATCCTGGTTTACCTCTTGTCCCGTGTCTTATCTGGTTTAGCATTTGTCCTGGAAAATTGTATCCAGGTTGATATGATAAATAACATGGACACCCTATTCATAAAGTAATTTTACTCACATAGCTGACATTTATTGAATGCTGTGGAGAAGGCATAGTCTTTTTTTTTGAGACAGAGTCTCACTATGGTAGAGTGCCATGGCCAGCTCAGAGCAACCTCACACTCTGGGGCTTAAGTGATTTTCTTGCCTCTGTCTCCCTAGTAGCTGGGACTACAGGTACCTACCATAACACCCGGCTATTTTTCTTTTTTTTTTTTGCTGTTGTTGTTGTTTTTAATGCCTGGCTAATTTTTTTTTTTGTTGTTGTTGTTGTTTTTGTAGCTGTTGTTTAGCAGGCCCAGGCCAGGTTCAAACCCACCAGCCCTGGTGCATATGGCTGGTGCCCTAACCACTGAGCTACAGGTACCGAGCCCGAAGGCATAGTCTTAGAGGTTATATTTTACATTTATGATATAAATGGTGGTATTGTAATTTTCCAGGTGAGTAAACTGAGGCAAATTAAGCTATGAGAATAAGACACTAGAGTTGGTGGAATTAGGCTTTGATCCCTAGCAGCCTGTCTCCTGGTTTGTACTCTGAACCACCAAATTTAGGTTGCTTTCCTTCCATAATCTGCCATGTATAATGAGTTAGGCCAAGAACTTGACATATTTCGTTTAATACTAATATCCCTGTGAGGTGGGTGAAATTTTTTTCTTTTATATATAGATCAAAAAACATGTAGCTCAAAGGGGTTAAGTAATTTGTCAGATACATGCAGTGGTAGATTGAAGATTGGAGCCTTCACTAGCTTCAGAGTTTATCTCCTGACCACTCACCAGTAGTTAGGACCAGCTTACAGTGTTTGGGGTTACATAGGTTTGAGTACATAGCTTAAAATACAGCTTTTTATAATCCCTAGTATTGATTAGTACTTAAATAATAATCTTTAAGTTTGAGTTTGAGTATCACCTGCACAGTGAAGCCTTGCAGTCTTTTGTCAGCATTTTTGAGCCACTTTAACGTCCTCAAATTTTTTTCCATGGCCTCTTCCTGTCACTTATGTTTATAAGGTCCTGATGGCAGAAATTCTTTTTTTTTTTTTTTTT